GACGTCTTATGACCATACGTCAATATTCACCTTTTTAGGGCCCCCTTAAACGTCGGTAGATGAGGTTATGGGATCCTAACTCTACCCCATACCTAAACCTAACCCGTCACCTAACTGACGTTAAAGGTAAAGCGTCAGTTGTATGACGGCCGGGGATCGCCATCTACCGACGTTTAAGGGGGCCCTAAAAAGGCGGATATTGACGTATGATCAAAATACGTCCCAAAACGTCAGTTATATGACTTTTTGGGATGAGACTGTGTTAAATCTACAGAGAACATGCAGAAAATAAAGTATGCTTGTGACTGTATGTATTTAGAAGAGTGATAGTGGCATGCGAAAGGAAATGTCCGTTTTGTCATTGTTATACAAATAAGCAGAACAAAAAAAAATGTTGTCATATCCATTTCAGTTTGCTAACACCTTGCAACCACAACCATGAAAGTTTGCACAACATCAGCAGGTCATGTGCTCTTCCTTCCTAGAGGCTTGTCAGGCTGTTTGCACTCGAAACTCATTGTCTGAAACATTCATTTTGTAATTTCTGCGTCATCGTTTACCCTTTCAGTTATTGCAGCAAAAACATTCAGTGATTCAAGGCAACAAATTTTAGCATGTTACTAATAAGCGAAAAAAAAAAAAAAAGCAGAACATGGACATACTGTCACTGTCAGCAAGTTCATTCTTCAATAGCAGTAAATTTCAAATTCTGTTTTTTTTTTTTTATTTAAAACCTGTTCTACAGAAATACCAGGCATGCAAAATTGTATAATTATTAACGTTTGTGGTTACGAAGTAAAAAAAAAAAGAATACTAAAAAGAAAGGAGAATAGCATATACGAAAAGCAATAGCTTCGGTAATAAGCCTAAAATGGTGATATTAAGACAACATCTGTGAATGTTTTCAGAAAAGACTGAGCATAATTGCCTCATTAAAGGAGTCATGACATGTATTTTACCATTATTATTTTAATATGTCGCTTGAGGTTCACTTACAATGTTAATAAAGTTTGTTTGTTTTGCAAAGAAATGCATATATTAGCACAAATTATTATTTTCAACCCTCATTAAAATGATCTGTTTTAAGGGGCAGTCACCCTTAAGAGTAACCCTTATTAGTAAATGCAACTATTATGACTGGGCTGGCTTACGTCTGTTACGGTAGCATGGATGCACGAGGAGACGAGGAATAGCAGGAAACAGGATCTTTCATAAACAAAACTCAGGAACCACAATATCACACTATATTATAAACGCGAACGGACAAGGAGTGAGAAGAACAGACTAGGGGAACAAGGCACAGCTGGGGCAAATTAACCTAACACAGGTGAAGGGACTGAACACAAACGAGGAGCGAGAAAATAGAAACAGGACTGAACCAAATACACAAAGAATGGGGGAAACACAGGGCACACATGTAACAATGTCATTGCATTGAACAAAGTATCAACCCCTGCATCAAAGCAAAAGATCTTTTATTCTCTCAATAGGGGATTATCACACTTCCAGGTTTCATGGGCGGGATTTGTCAACTTTGTGCATGTCCACTTCCGACGCAGTTCAACAATGGCTGAGACGAAGGCTATGTCACTGCTCTTTTCCACTTTGTAAATCTAACCAACAACGCCCACCAAGTTTTCATGGATTCCCGACTGAATTGAGTATAAGGAAGAACTGGATTAAAACTTTAAAACAAAACAAGGTAGCACGTTTGTTTGCAGCCGGAACTTTAGTGAATCAGACTAATTTACCAGGGATGCCGTATAAATAAACTTAGTGTAGTCCGTCATCAGTTTGCCAGCGAGATCGGTGATTCAACGGAAGTGGCAGTGCACAAAGATCACTGAATCCGGAAGTCCTGCGTATCAGCGCGATAATCCCCTATTGAAGCTCAAGTGCATGCATGCAGTATAAGAAATTGACAAGCATCTTTCTACTGTCTGTATCCAGTGTAAACAGTGTCAATGATAATAATGAGTTATATTTGCATTTTGACAAGACACTCATATTCGCAAGCAGGTGCCAGCTGTGTAGGGAGTGAATAGCAGTGGGATGGTGCCTATGGTACGATGATGTAAAAAATATTCAGCAATATCTTGCACTAGAGGCAGTCATCTGCAAATCTATTTGCCCCTTTTAACTACAACAACAACAACAAAAAACACATTTAAATGTGCCATTTTTTTGGATCTTGGTTATTGTACTGATGAAGACATTTTAAGTTTTGAAACATGCTGGTTTGTTTTAATGGAAAATTAGTATACCCATGTCATGCCCCCTTTAAGGTTACAGCCAGTTTGAAAATTATAAATATCTGCAATTAATCACAAACCTGAAACTAAAGCTGAGAAGATTTAAGAGGAAGGAATACATTTAATTAACCAATAATTTCATCAGACTCTCATTGTTTTAAACTGATGGATGTTAACAATTTATATTAGATGCAGCCTTTCTCTATGTTAAATGTGAACATAGATACTGGTGGCTCCACTCTTTATATCCATCTTCATGCATATTCAAACGGACACTGAATAAAACGCTATAATTAATGTCACATTGACCCTCCTCTCACTGGCCCATGGCCAGGCTCACAATAGGAGCGCATGGCAATGAGGAGGTTCATGAGAGCTGCTGGCAGAGCGCAATGAAACGCACCTGCTGCTTTTTGCACCTTATCACACCTTATCACCAGTGCCTAAACCCCTCCACCTCAATCTCTTCACCAGTTCTGATGGAAGGTGTCCTGAGTTGACGAGTCTGATCAGCCTGTCGGGCACAAGGAACGCCAATTTACGCCAATTCTGACTGCGCATAAAAAGGTCCAAAATAGCTCAACTTAACTGGGAGGCCACTTAAAGGACAAGTTTTGTATTTTACACTTACAGCCCTGTTTTAAGATAGTTTCTGATGAAATAGAATGGGTAAGATGGCCTGAGAATTTTCGGTTTCTTTGGTTGACCACTCGGGCCAGCAGCATGTGTCCAAATTTCAATCAGAAACGATCTTAAAACGGGGCTTTAAGTTTAAAATACTAAACTTGTCCTTTAAACAATGACCACCTGGCCCTATACTCTTCTGGATCAACCTATCCTGACTTTTGGCCACCCACAGAATACTCTTCCTTTATATTTGTATTTCTGACCAAGAAAAATAATTTCTGAAGCATGAAACTGTGTCTGTCTTTATTCCCTGCCATATTTGGAGAATAGAGAGGTTTATTCAGTATTCTAGAAAAAAATGTAAACAATGGACTGAAATACTCAAATGTATGGTTTTCATTAGCCAAAGTGAACAAACAATCAGGGAGATTGATGACAGCTGAAATATGCACCGGTCTAACAGATGAGCCTACTGTGTAGCTGAGGGTCTGCACCAACAATTATAAATGAGAAATCATAGCACACAGTACAAACATCAAGCCAAGCCTAGCCTAGTACAAACAAAGTCCTACCTGTAGGATATCTGCTCAGGAAAGCAAACAGCCAAGCCTGTTACAAGTACCTCGTAACATAGATGCACAAGCTCACAACACACATTCAGTTGAGTGGGAGAGCAATTCCCCACACTCACACTTTAAAATACAGACTTTCTTGCGAGTCAAGCATTGAATGTGTTATTCTTGTACGAAATTTATCAGGCAAACCATTTATCCTATGTCATTTAGGGTCCATCTGTTCAATCAAGGTATGACTGATTGTCCATGAGATGATCACAGCAAACATGTTTGTCTGAACAGAGCAAATATTTATGAGGAAAGCCTCAGAATAGGAGAAAAGCCAAGTAGGAGGCCAACCAAATTCACATTCTCATAAACAGTCTCCTTCTCTGGAGTTTTGTGAGATATTTAATTCATCAATGGTTTCTAATATGTGGTATATTTGGACATAAAATAACACAATAGTCATTGTTTTTTTTTTAATAAAAATGTTGTGTATAATAAGAGCCATCAAATTCGATCTTACAGTTTTCTGCTATTTTAGAAAAAAAAATATTTTCTATAGTTATACCTGATATGGACCTAGAATATATATGTGTTATATTAATAAGGAGAAGGGCTCAAAGGGCTCTTTTTTTACATATGAGCAGAAAATATGAAAATATTTTACATGTCAGCAATACATATCTTCCTACTCGCTGTGTGGAGTTATATTGAAAATAATGCATGGTGCAGCAGACAATGTGTGACATACATGTGACAGGAAGGGGGAATTATTGAAGACACAAAAAGTGTAATGGGTTTATAAAACCACACACTAATTTAATACATAAAATTGGATGTATAATGTGGTTTTGTGGACATATAGCCTAATTTTGAATGGGTGAGTCAGAAATTACAACTTGAAACTTTGTGCTTGCAACAGATAATTGTAACTTTCACAAACTTCAGCTTAGCCTTTACTTGCATATTCATAATATATATATATATATATATATATATATATATATATGAACATTCACGTTTGGGGACGTTAGCAAAGCTGTAACTCAAAATGTCAAAATGGAATTTTTTTTTTTTTTTTTTTTTTTTTTTAGCTGAGGAGTTCTTTTTCTTTTTTTATTCCCCGCTTTGACGCTGGGTGCCTTTACATTCTAGTATAAATTAACTCTTTTGATTCCGAACAAACACTTGGTTACAAAAGACTAGGCTACAATGTGCAGCTGTACAACCGGATAGGCTACAGAATAGGCTACATTTATAAGAACATTACTCAAAAAGTGCCTATATCATCTATTGAAACCTAATTTTAATCGTCGTTGTTGTAAAAGAAACGCTGTTATGAGCGTTGGTATCAAATCTAGCAGAGTAACTTAATCAGAGGTTCACTGAATAATCCTGATCGATGAACAGCCCTCGGCATCCCAACTGAGAATCCGGAGATGAAAACACACACGCACTCCGTTTTTAAAATAAAACCTAACACTCTAATATCACAAATAAAGGCAACAGTGTAATGCACAGAACAAAAGCAGGAACAAGCATCTGAAAATAATATGCTCACCTCAAATGCGGATCCACTTTATTGCACGTGGGAGAAAAAAAGAGGCACAAAAGGATCCCGTTTTAAACTCGTGATCTATTACACGAGTGATGTGCCGTTGTGTTTTTGTGTTCATAACCCATGGGTTGGACCAGAACCGTCAATGAAGAAGAATCAGCATCTTCTGTCCCGGTATCGAAACCCGCTCCGCTTCTGTCCTTCAACACTGCCAGTCTCAGACAGTCTGAACTGGTACACGGGGTCCGCACAGAAACCGACCACTACAACTACAATATTAAAATGAAAAAGATGCTGGTAATGTAGGCTATTCGGTTTTTGTCTCGCTTTGGCGAGATGCAGGCGGTTTTCACGCGCACCAGGCTTGCGCTTTCGTTCTAGGGGCTGAGCGTTCACTGTGTGCCTGTCAAAAGCAGAGGAGGATCTCTAATACGAGAGCGCTTTTATACACTGAGACGTGGGATGCGTGTGATTAAGTCACTCGTTGGGGGGATGAATGTTCAATCTATTGCATTTATTTTATGTTCGTCTTCAGGCATTGGTTCAAAGAGAACATTTGTCTATTCCTGCATGAGTCATTTACCACAGCCATGCTGGAGATAGTGTCACTTTTTACGACAGTTAATGTGTGTTTTTAAGGGTGTTTCTGGAAGTCAGTTTTATTCCAGGTGTATACATTTAAGCCTTGGCTGCAGCAACAACAATAAAAAACTCTTTCTTGAACATGTCTACGCTTATTAAAACATGTACATGGAGCATGTCAATCTGTATAAGAATTCCCTTTCTTCAGCTAAATCTGCATATTACTCTCACTTAATCCACTCTAATCACCATAGTTCTAAAACTCTGTTCTCTCTTTTAACTTCTATTACAAAACCTCCTGACTCTCTTCCGTACCATATGCAATCCCAAGACTTTTGCAATAACCTTATGTTCTTTTTTGTTTCCAAAATTACAGACATCCATAATCACCTGACTTCCTCCGGAGCTGCAGCTTCTGGATACAACCTTAACACTCCTTATCTATACCCAACTACTACTTTTTCAAGTTTTGACCTTCCCTCTGTTCAAGCCATCTCAGATATTATTCATAAATCTAAACCCTCCACATGTCAGCTCGATCCACTTCCCTCCACTTTGGTTAAATCCTGCTGCTCTTCACTTGCCCCTCTAATCACTGAGATTATTCGCTCTTCCCTAAGCTCCGGTTCAGTCCCCCCCTCACTTAAAATTGCCTCGGTCACACCCATTCTGAAAAAAACAGGTCTGGACCCCACTAATTTTAGCAATCTCCGTCCCATATCGAACTTACCCTTCATATCCAAAATTTTGGAAAAAACAGTCGCCTCTCAACTTCATAATCACCTCATGTTGAATAGCATCTATGAACAGTTTCAATCAGGCTTCCGTCCGCTTCACAGCACTGAAACCGCACTCATTAAAATTACAGATGACCTTCTTATGGCTTCTGATTCTGGGTTACTTTCAATTCTCATTCTTTTGGACCTCACTGCAGCTTTTGATACCATTTCTCATCCCATCCTCCTCAGTCGATTATCATCTATTGGTATCACCCACACTCCTATAGCTTGGTTTACTTCCTACATTTCAGATCGGAAACAGTTCATACAACTAAAAACCCAGAAATCCGTTACCTTCCCCGTCTCCGCTGGAGTGCCCCAAGGCTCTGTATTGGGGCCTCTCCTTTTTATCATTTACATCCTCCCTCTTGGTTACATCCTCCGTAAGCACAACATCAAATTTCATTGCTACGCGGACGACACCCAGCTCTACCTTTCTACTAAACCATCTTCTTCACTCCCACCAACCTCTCTTACCCTCTGTCTCCAAGAAATTCATTCTTGGTTTTCCTCTAACTTTCTCAAACTGAACAGCTCAAAAACCGAAGTCCTCCTGGTGGGCACACCTCATACCCTCTCCAAAGCTAATAAAGTTTCCATTACCATTGATAACTCAACTGTCCTTCCCTCTCCCCAGGTTAAGAGTCTGGGTGTCGTCCTTGACAGCACTTTATCTTTCCACTCTCACATTAATAGCATCACCCGGTCAGCCTATTTCCACCTGCGCAATATTGCCCGCCTCCGTCCCTCTCTTACTCCCAAAACCACCGCCATCCTGGTTCACAGCCTCATCACATCTCGGTTAGATTACTGCAACTCACTTCTGTTTGGCCTCCCTAATAAGTCGCTCCGGAAGCTGCAGCTCCTACAGAACTCTGCTGCACGCCTAATTACTCAGACCCCCATTTCTCATCATATCACTCCCATCTTGCAACAGCTTCACTGGCTTCCTGTTAAACAGAGGATCATTTTTAAAATACTTCTCATCACCTTCAAAGCAGTTCACAACATGGTTCCTTCATATATATCAGATCTTCTCCATTTAAACATCCCTACTCGTTCACTCCGATCCTCTCACACCTGCCAGCTTTCTGTTCCCCCTGCTCGGCTTGTCACAATGGGGGGCAGGGCTTTTAGTCGCTCTGCTCCCCATCTTTGGAATTCCCTCCCTCCAGATCTTCGTACCCTTGACTCATTTAATGTTTTCAAATCCAAACTCAAAACTCTGTTGTTTAGACAATCATATTCCGTCTGACCCATATCACACCAATGCTGTCTTGCCAATTTTATTGTTTTGTTTTTAATGTGTGTTTTTTTTTTTTTTATCTGCGTTGTACAGTGTCCTTGGGTGTCCTGATAAGGCGCTTTAAATAAAATGTATTATTATTATTATTATTATTATTGCTTAGGAAAAGATACAGTTAACATGCATTGACCTTGGGTAACAGCTTGTCTCAAATGAGGATTTATTATCACAGTGGGAACTTACCATTTAACCAGTATTAAAACATATTTCATTATCTGGTATAATGTTAATTTACCAACCTATTGAAGTGTGAATAAAAGCTCAACACAAGCAATCTTCCACAAGAAAGTTATAGAAGCTGCACAGTGTTATTCGCAGAGAAATTAAACACCATCATGGTAACACACATGACATTTTAAAAATGCAATAAACATTAATTAAACAACATTAAATGCAACATAAAACCCTAATGTACTACATAACTGATTAGAAAAGAACTAAGAAAATTAAGAAGAAACATAGTTCTCTTACGAGAGGTTCTCTCGTATTGCGAAAGTTGCCAACGCTACGGAAAAAGAATATTTTCTCGAGATATTGAAGCCAAAAAATTATCCTTAATTTTTCATATATTGTCAACGCAGTGCAGCAGCCAGCAGACCTAGAGCAGGCTATCTTGCATTCTTATTGGCTGCCCTGCGCAACTGCTGCAGCCTACCACTGAGCCTTGCATGTGACGTCATGCCCTCTACACGTCGCAGCCAGCCAAAAGCGGGATGGCTTAGCGTATAAAAGACAGTCTCGGGAGCTGCATCACTGATTTTCATCATCTTCAGCAAAGCTCTTCACATTGTTGGACACTGAGAGAAGCGATCCACCATCGAAACTAGTGACCAGCACGCAGAGAAAAACGATTGAAGAAGCCGGCCACTTCTTCAATCTTCGCCACCTTCAGCCTTCCGTGCCTGCTATGCCATCCGGCGTTGAGTATCCTTTTTTTAGTCTTTCCTGTGGCTTGTGCAGAGCCCCACTCAGTGCCGGAGACGCCACGTGATTTGTGCTCTCTGTCTGGGCCCAGACCACGCATCCCTCGCCCTGGATTCGGGAGGCTGCGTGTACTGTGAAGCTCTTCCGCTTTCGACCCTGCGGGCTCGACTTGAAGCCTTCACCACGGCCGCTGTCACTCCGCCCTCCGGGCCGCGCAAGAAGAAGCGCCGTTCGCAGATATCGGAGTCTGAGGTCACCATAAAAGGCTCGCCGGATTTCATCCCACCAGTCTCCCTCTCTCCTTCTCCGCTCCTCCTCAGGGGACGAAGCTAAAGAGATCGACCTGGGTGACAGCTGTTCCATCCAGGCATCAGACAGTGTGGAATGGTCGAGTTCTCATCCCTCTGCCTCCTCCTCGATCCAGGAATCCAGCAGGACTCTGAAAACATTCCAGAGAAAGCTGGGCAATATGGCATCAGCTGCGACTGTGCTTCAGCTGGGCCTGCTGTGCGTGCGCATGTGCCAGGACGCCTGACCGACGGCCAAGACAAACTATCCAGGAACCATGTTCCCCCACGGGAATGGTCCCTGCAACCCCAAACAGTCCAATTACTGTGGCACCTTTTTTTGCAAAGCGAAAGTCAACCTGTTTGCGTTAAAAGACAACGGTCATTGCCCGCTGGTCTTTTCGAAGAACGAGGATGCGCTGGCCCAAACCTGACCCAGTCTCTCTGTTACCAATGGTAATCAAAAGGATCAAGAAAATGCTCCACTTGGTGCTCCTTATAGCCCCACGATGGAACAATCAAATCTGGTTCCAAAGCTGATGCGGCCCCTTGGCCGATTCCGGTGAGGAGAGATCTCCTCTCTCAAGCCCACTGCTCAATCTGACATCCCCATCCAGAGCGCTGGTCTCTGCACGTATGGGTAATCAACAGATATCCGCCAGAAGGAGTGATGAACACGATTACACAATCCAGAGCTCCTTCTACGAGGCGGCTTTACGTGTCTAAATGGTCTGTGTTCTCCAAATGGTGTGCTGATAGAGATCTAGACCCACGAATATGTGGGGTTCCGTGGTTGCTTGGCTTCCTTCAAGAGCTGTTGGATAAGGGCAGGTCCCCGTCCATGCTTAAGGTATATGTGGCTTAGCGTTCACTGAGCCTGGCAATGCCACTCTGTATACCCTATATGTGCTCATAACATGTGCTGGCCTGCATTGCTGGCCACCTGTTTCCCACTACTGTATGTTCCCCGGGAATCCCTGGGACTCATGAAGTGGATGCTGGGTGCGCACAACGTTGACAATGAGTTCCCTTAGCGTAAGAAACTTACGCAATACAAGAGAACCTCATGTAAGAGAACGTACTCGGTTACATACGTTTCCTCTCAATATGAGGGAACAAGTATTGCGTAACCCGACCGTGCAGGCGCCAAGACCAATTTCTCGCTTCAGCTGATGAAACCAGTGATGCAGCTCCCGAGCCTGTCTTTTATATGCTAAGTCACCTGGCTGTGATGCGTAAAGTGCTCTCTGTATCTATACCCTGTGTTCTCCCTCAGTCCATTTTCATTAATGTTTAATGTTTTCTCCTGGTTCCTGAGTTTTGTCATTAAAGATCATTATAATCATCTTCCTTCGTCTTCATGCTATTTCCTCTACTACGTGGCGTAACAGACACCTTAAAATAAAGTGTAACCAATTATATTCATGAAGAATTATACAACACATTCTTTTCAACGTTATATTATGTTATATAATATTATGGCCTGGTTTCAC